CCCTCCCTCCCTCCCGTTTTCAGGGGGTCCCCGGGGGACCAAATATCCCTCCCTACCCCAACTACCCCCAGCCTCCCGGCGGAGCCCCGGCGGGAGGTTTCAAGGGCGTCGGCATGTGCTACGGAGCGCCGTTCTCAGCGCCTGGGATGGCCTCGAACGCAGCTTGCAGAGCCGCTGCCTCGCAGCAGGTACATGAGAGTTGTGTTGTTGTTGGTGGTGACTGATGCTGTTGTTGCTGAGTGACGCTTCGGTAGGAGGGTCGTCTCATCTTACACTTTCGGGTAGGTAGACCGAAACTCTACTCTACCCGGCTGTTGATTGCGGCTTGTCGACGTAGGATCACAGAAACAAGGCAAGACGACGCGGTTGGTCCCAGCAGAGTACGACATCATCCCCAAAGTGCACCCCCCTACAGGACCGTCACTCTTTCCTTGTTTTTGCTGTTGAAGATGTTGGCGGATGCTTGCAGCAGAGGATGTGGTGTGGTGCGGTGGTGGGCCTTTGTTGTTTATTTCTGTCACGCTTCGCGCTTCGCGGATCAATCGACACAAGTGTCCGACCGTTCATCCACGCGCGCCCGGTAGATCCTCCCCTGTTCCGTGGGCTTCCTGCAGCAGACCGCGGTTGTGAAAGACTTCTTGCGTCACTAGCACCCACCGGAACATAAGAGGAACCCCACCATTCCTTGTTCGGATGGACGGTAGGAGGGAGGTGTGCATAGATTTCTCCCGTAGCGTAGCAAATTACCAAATGCCGTCGAGGCACAGCTTTCCACCTTCAAGAAGGTGCGCAGCGGGGCGGTCTGTTTTGGAAACAACCCTGTCCGCGTTCTCTTGATGCCGTTGACGTAGTTGTTCGGTGGCAGACAGACAGACTGGTGTGTTTGGGGCCTCCTGTTGTTCAACCGCCCTCGTGCTCACATCGGAAAAGCACCTTGACCTCCACGGAAGTTGAACCCTTGGTCAAGGTCCGACCGATCGAGGGTTCCCCCCCCTCTCCCACCGCCGTGGCCCAAACACGATGGCTCGGCCAAGCTCTTGCCCCCTACAGCTTCTCTCCCCAGCTATGAAAGAAAAGGAGGTACTGGGAGGAGACCGGAACGGTTTTTAATGTGAAGGCAACAACAACAACAATAACAATAACAATCCCCCCCTTCAAGACACCTTTGGCAAAAGTAGGAAGGAACGATCGACCATCGGTGATCGGTCATGTGGGAACAATTTTCGTTCCTCTCGAGGAGGACGCGTGATCACCGGTCTTACCGCTAGGGCATGCAAAGCACAAGAGCATCCCCCCTCTCCCCACTCCTCCATCAGCAGGACCAGAGCCAAGCGGCCGCCTACGCGGCGGCCTACGCCGCCGCGGCCACCACGCACGCAGCCAAACAGTCGGCCGGCATGGGCATTATCTCTGGCAAACCCTCCGGGGACGGAAGAAACAAGCCCCCCTCCGGAGACCTTGACCAAGGCGGGGGAGCTGGGGGCGGCGGGGGCGGCGGCATGCTTACGCTCACCATGGACAAGGAGGCGGACGGGCCGAGGAAGGGGGCGGGCGGCGGCAGCGCGGCGTCTTTTCTGGGGGGCGGAGGTGGGTCTTGCATGTGTGACTGTCTGTCTTTGTGTTTGTCTTTGTCTTTGTCGCTGTCTCTTGTCTGTCTCTTGTCTGTCTCTCTTTCTCCCCCCTCTTTCTCCCCCCCNAACGACTACGGCATGCACGACTATGAGTACCCCCCCCCCCCCCCCCCCCCCTCTCTCTCTCTCACACACACACACGTGCAATTTCTTCTGTTGCTACATACGGTTTCTGTCTTTTATCCGGATAATGGCTTAGCCTCCCCCATTACGCCCCCCCCCCCCACGGGGTCCCAGTCAATTGACATTTATCGGTTTTGTGTTTTCAACCGCACTGCGGCTGACGTCTTTTCATTAGTCAGCCGGTTAGCGCGATCGATGCAAATTATAACGACACACGTACATCGTCTCTTCTCCGTCTCCGTTCCGTGTAGACCGGCTGTGTGTTGCGGCAGCAAAGCTCGCACCGGCCAAAGCACACCGCAGTGAAAGTTGATCTTATCTTTTCGGCGGGTTTGCTTACGTTTCGTGAGACCCCTACCATTCTCGGGGGGGGGGGTACTCATTGTCGTGCATGCCGTAGTCGTTAGACCATTGACCTCGCATCCCTACAAAGCCGGGACGGAGCACGCCGGGTTCTCACCGGACCAGGCTCTCACATCACCAAGCGCGAAGCGCCGTGAGATATTCGGCGAGTCGCATGAAGGGTGCGCTGNGACCACCATTATGGTTACCGCCAAAAAAAAGCCTTAGGAAAAAAAAAACGGTAGCCTGGTTGCCGAGTTCACGAAGCGAATGGGCTTGTTTTACAACGTCGTTGCCAAGCGACGAAAACCCAACCCCGATGGCAAACACCGAGGAGGGGCGGCGTTTTTTTTGTTCGTTTGTACCATAGGTGGTGACTAAAGATTCCTCTTTTCTCGGCTCCTTGTACAATCCCGAGCCATTCTGCAACACGAAGTGCTCTCTGCACAAGCTGGTGCGAGGTTGTGAATTGTATGCATGAAACCCCGCTGAAGCTCAGCTGTTCCTTCACGCATAGAGGGAAACGAACACTCAACACATGCCCGTGCTTTCCTCCGTACAAGTGAAAGTCACAAAGGCGAATTGGGATACCGTAGCCGTCTCGAGTGGGAAGCAAGTTGCTTGTGGGCTCGTCGTCCCTCCCCCCCCCCCCCCCCCCCCCCCCCCCNTCTCGCGACACGCGACCGACCTCGCCCGGAAAAATGCTATGCATACCAATTCATTATTTCCTCGATATCTTTCCGCTACGTGTACATGCGCATACGTACACACAGGGGGTTTGTTGAAGCTCAGCATGGACGAGAACGGTCTAAAGGAGATGCGGGATAACATGGCCGCAGCCGCGAAGATCGTCCAACAACACCATGCCGGGGGGGGGGGCGACGCGAGCGTGGCTGAGGTACGTACACTCATAATTTGTATGCTTGAATGTAAAGCACAAGGGAGGGCAAAGGTGTGTTCGTGTGTGCGCATGCCGTAGTCGTTGGACTTTTGAACCTCACATCCTGCCATGTAGGGGAGGAAGGACTTGATATGTTTTCGGTTCTGCGTTCGTTTTTTTTTCGCCACTTGCAAGCTATCTACCGTCCCTTGTCGGGTGCCACCTCCCCTCATGGCAAGCGATGCAAGCAATTTTGCGAGTGCATTCGGTGCATGGGGAGCAGAATAATGTTTTGTGCCTACGCTACGTATGTAAACATGCTTGGTCGTGAGAAGGTTCGTTCTAAGTCAATCTCCCTCCCCGGTGTTCCTGTTTGGCGAATCGCGGATTTCATTATTATTCTCTTCGTTTTTTTCTTGTTTTGCTACGATCTCCAGTTGCCGCTTGTACTCGAGGACCCTGCTGCTGTATTCCTTCTTCCCTCTTGTTTCCTTCGCGGCCCTGTTCGCGAACCTGTTCATTGGTTCGAACGGGGGAGAAGGACCTCCGGTCTAAACTTTACGGAATCTACCAGCTTTACGTCCTGTGGATTTTTTAGGCTTGATATATATCGAAACACGGCATGAGAAGCTGCCGCGCCGCCGTTTGCCATCGATCGGCGCGATAGACGACGTACCAGCTGTCAAACCGCCCACCGTACTGTAACCGCCGTGTATGGACTGGTGCTCCCCTTCCCCCCTTCTACATCCAGCTCAACGAGCAGACCGTGCCGGCCAAGCGGCCGGCGAGCGAGGCTCCCAGCGACCAGCCCCCGCCGAAGTCCATGGCGCCGAACCAGGCAGCGGCGGTCGGGGGGGCTAACAATCCCTCCGCGGCGTCTTCGACGCCGGCGGCCGCCGCCGCCGCCGCCGCTCTCGCGGCGCACGGCGCGGCGGCGGCCCTGGGGTCCGTTCTAGGCGTCGGCGCCGGTGGTAGCTGCACGGCCGCCGGAGGCGTTACTGACGACGGGGCGGCGGCGGCCGGTGGTTCGAGCGGCGGTGGCGGTGGTGGCGGCAATGCCGACAACGGCGGCGGCGGCGATGGCAGCGGAGCCGGCAGCAAGCGACAGCACTTTCAGTTCGCGTACCCTTCGCCGGCGCACTTCGCGCAACAGGTGGCGGTCGGGACGGCGGGTGCGGCGGGCGCGAACGGCGCGGAAGGAGGCGCCGGTGTCGATGCCGTTGCGGGGGCGAGCGGGGCAGCAGCAGGGAGGCCGTTCCCCGGCCCCCTGTCTCCGTTCGGGCACCTCCCGCCGGACATGCAGGCGTATGGCCCGCTTAACCCGGGGTCGTCCCCCCACCCCAACCCGCACCAGCAAGCGTACCCGTTCCTGCCGTACTCGCCAACGGCCCTTATCGGTGGCGGCGGCGGCGGCGGCAGCAGCGGCGCCGGAGCGCCGACCATGGAGATAAGCTTGGACGGCGGCAGTGGCGGAGGGGTGGGGGCCCCGCAGAGGGGCCCAGGCGGGAGTGAGGGTGTGGGCGACTCGGATGGGAGAGTCGTGGGCGGCATGGAGATCGTCGGACACCAGGTATCGTAGATATCTACGATATCTACGACTACTATGCGACGATTTCGTTCGTTTTTCCAAGTTGTTTGTTGGCTCGGATATATGCATACTATACCTTCTTTTTTGGCGCAGACGATTGGGTTCTGGGGGGGTAGAGTGGAATTTTGGAGCATACCTGCACCTCTTGTACGTGGTGTGGTCGTAGTCCTAACCCGCGCAAGCTGGCACTTGCTGTTGTTCATGGCACATTCTTTGGTTGTTTTTTTGCGTGTGTACGCCGTGTTCGTGCAATCTAGCCTGCTGCCAGTCTACACAACTTTTGGTGCCCCCCCCCCCCCCCCCNCCTCTTAACCTACCCTCTTCGGCCGTTCCCCCCTCCCCTCCCCTGTATGTCGCCTGTCGCTCTTTTCGTTGTTCGTGCGGATGGGGCTGGTTGCGTCTTGCGTGCTTGTGTTCGCGCACGCGGCGTCTGTGGTGTTGTATTTTAGCTGGAGTTGTGGCAACGGAAGATGCTGGTCGACGACGGGACCGACAAGTTCGCCGGCAGAGAGCTAGTACAGCTGGGCGCCACGGACCAGGTCTGTCGATGCTGTCGCTCGTCGTCGTCGTCGTCGTCGTCGTCGTCGTCGTCGTGGTTGTTGTTGTTGTTGTTGTTGTTGTTGTTGTTGTTGTTGTTGTTGTTGTTGTGGTTGAAGTTCCCTAAAATGTCTCTTGCTGTTACTCTTTCGATCCATTATTTATATCTATCCATGCGTTGGTCGGCTTCCCCCTAGTTTTTTTTTAAGTCCCTTCACAAGCTCACCCCTTCCCCCGCCCGCATCGCCAGACGCCCGGGGGGAACGAAGCACCGGGAGGTCCGGTCTTAGGCACAACAACAGCAGCAACAGTAGCAGCAGCCTCGAGGGGAGGCTACACAACATCATCATCGCTCGGCCTGACGCTCGAACGGCACCAGGCCCAGGCTCCGGCACCGGCACCGGCCCCAGCCCCGACCCCCGCCCCCCCCGCGACCCCGGTCCTAACCTACGACTCTCTTGTGGCGCAGCAGCAGCAGGAGTTCGAGGAGAAGGAACAGCAGCAGCGACAGCAGTAGGAGGGCGGGGAGGGGGAGTAGTGATGAGCGGGCTCCTGAAGTTAGAATCAGCGGCGGTTGCAACGGCAGCGGCGGAGAGTTGACCGTCGCCCCTCGTCCGCGATGGTGGTTCCTGCCTCCCGCCGCGGAGGTCGCAGCTGAGAAAAGGGGGGGGGGGGGGGGGGGGNGGGGGGGGGGGGGGGGGGGGGGGGGGGGGTGATGATTTTTTCGGATGTTTATTGGTTGGGCTTGCCCGGGGAGGCCGGCGACAATGCAACACAAACGCGGCGCGGCGTGGTGTTGTGAACTGATTGGCACGACGGACGGGGTGTTTTTTTTTTCTTTTCTTCGTGGCCCGTGCTGTAGTGTAGTTCGTGCTTCGTCCTGGTGTTCCTGTGGCGTTGTGGGCCGGCCCTTATGCTACCGAACCGAAGTGTACTTCTCTGTATTACAAGACTTTTTTTGCGGGGGATATATATATATATACGCACACTGCTATACATGTATGAATTTGCGTCTGTTTGTGCACGTGTAACAGCTGCAGCAGCAGCAGTCTGGTTGGAAGTGCTGCATTTGTAGCAGCTGGGTTTTCGCTCTTGTTCAGCCCGGGCCTACAATTGGGGCGAAAGAGCTGAATTTTGCTGCAGTCACGGGGACGAAGCTGCCGGCCCGTTCCTTTTGAGGTTGCGCGTGTTTCGCGAGCTGCTATGTCTATATCTACAGCGACGTTTGGGCACAAGCGGTCCCTCGGATGCCCCACCAAGCAGTATAATCGGGATTGATTTCTGTTGGGCCCCGTGCCTCCCAATTTTGTCACCGTATCGATATTTCTACGTCCAATGTCCACCTTCCTCATGGCGACGTACCTCTGTGCGTAGAAGGCGTAACCATGAAACGCTGGACGTCATTTCGGCCGCGGGCGTTTTTTTTTTACGACGATCGGACCGGGGTCGATGAAATCTCGACACACACACACACACGCAGGGGCCGTGGGCGGGAAATCATGTCGAATAGCGGGCTGTAGCCGGATGTTAGCCAGTCGCTGGCTTGGGGAGGTCTGCAAGTAAATATTGACTCGCGATCTCCGGGTAACCTACGGCTAGCGATAGATGCGACTGATGCGATGCATTTTTTTTTTCCGTAAGAATTATCTTTTGCTTGTAGGACGGAGGCACTTGAGAGTGCTAGTTGCTGCTGCGCACATACGTGTGTGCGTGAGCGACTTACCACGTAGGGGATACGAGCCTCCTGTGATATGTTGATTAGGTTTGGGTTGTATAGTAGTGACGCAGAGGACGATCAGGAAGGGGGCGGGGGGGGGGGGGGGGGGGGG